AGAAGCCTCATTAAAAATGATGAATATCAGGCTGCCTACAAGCTAATAACTTTAAACAGTGCCACTTTCTTTTTCTTTTCTTTTTTTTAAAGATTTTATTTATTTGAGACAGAGAGAAAGCACAAGCAGGGGAGGGGCAGAGGGAGAAGCAGGCTCCCTGCAGAGCGGGGAGCCCAATGCGGGGCTCGATCCCAGGACCCTAAGATCATGACCTGAGCTGAAGGCAGACGCTTAACCAACTGAGCTACCCAGGCGCCCAAGAGTGCCACTTTCTTAAGAACATCAAGATTATAAGACTTTTGAATTCTGCACCATCACCCAACTAATATCAAAACCCATCTAATACTACATTCAGATTTTTTCTCAAACCTTATCTAATATAATCTGTATTAAGAAAATTTTCACAAACTTTCAAAAACTGAACTGTATTGTTAAAAGATCATTTCAGTTACTAATTCTCCTAACACAAATATGAAGCTTGCTCTTCTCAAGACACACATTATGAGTTATATTGTAATATGGTGTCATACATATAGTTAAACCTACTCCAACGGAGGCATCTATCATTCAGATAAAGATAGCCACCCCCCCCCCCCCCCGTCCCCCCACCTTCTACCTTCTGAAGCTCTTGCCTGGGAATGGTGTTCAAAACTTAATTTCTTGCCAAACCTTTTCTTCTCCTTATGTTCATCTCAGTAAATCTCACCATCATCTTCCTAGGTCCTCAAGTCAGGAACCTGGAGCTCACTTCGACATCTTTCCTTTAACATCCAATACATCATGAAGTTGTCAATGCCCCTGCCACTTCCATCTCCTCTCTGTCTCTCTATATCAAATCAGATGATACTGCTACCCTAGGGCCAGCCACCATCATCTTACCTCAACAACTGTAACAGTAGTCTGTGCTTTCATCCTTGCCTTTCTCTAATCCATTCTTAACCAAAGTGTCATTCTTAAAATCTAAAGCATAGCACTCCTCTACTTCAAAATCTTCAATGATTGATTGCAACATCTTTAGTAAAACCCAGGTCTTCAAAATGCCCTGCAATGCCCTGTATGATCTGCTCTCTGCCTAGCTCTCATCTTGCATGGTTTTCCTTTATTATTATACTCCTGCCACCCTGAACTTCTTTCATTTCTTCCAACATATTAAGCTCTTTTTTGCCTTCATACATATTCTTCTCTCTTCCAAGAAACTCTTTCCCTATCTAGCTTATTCTTTGTCTTGACTTAAATATCACCACCTGAGAGAGACCTTTCTGACCACACAATCTACAATCCTCCCCATTTTTTCCCCAGCAGTCTGTTCTCTTCCTTTATTGAATTCATTACAAGTTGTAATTTTACATTTGTTATTTACTTGCCCATTACCTGTTTCCACTATTAGACTATAAATTCTACAAAGGTAGGAATCACTTAATAAATTTATGTTATATAATAAACTGATTAATAAAGGAATCACTTAATAAACTAATCTGTTTAATGAATGGATGTGAGTGACCTGGAGTTCAGAGAATGAATTATAGCTCAAAGTGGCTTCCCCTTCTCTGAGTTTCCCCTTATCACTTGATCAGCTTTCCAACTGTTTCTAAAAGGGAGGAGCAAAAGGTGCTCCCACAAAATTAAAAGCAATACAGTGGAGGTAAGGTCAGGAAGTTGTACGTGATATGTCAAATAAGTGAGACAAATAATAATGCTATGGTCTCATGGGAAGGAGAAATCCCTAAGGGCTACAATGACAAGAGATGATCTTATTCGCAAGGTGGAATTTGACCTGAGTATTCACAGACTGGTAAAATTCGGGGGTAGAATGGATGGGAGCGAAGCCCAAACAAGTAAAAAGAAACATGGTGTCAGAAGATAGTTATAAAATTGGAATGTGGCAACGTATATTCACAAAGTAAGTGTAAAAAAGCTAAATCTTCTGTCATGTAAGAAATCTGTATGGTTAAGACAGGTTAATCATCTTAAGACCACAACAGCTACAAAACATTTAAAAGGTTATAACAAAATCATTCTGTCTCCTCAGTGTCCATAAATCTCTTCTGATTCCAATTTTTGGCTTTCAAAGTTTTTCAAACACTTATGACAACATTAGTTTCATAATTCATTTTCACTCTAACCAAATGCTTTAAGTTTCCATATTCTTACCAATGTTCTGTATTCACTATACTGATATATGATGGAATTTCCCCAGTAGATCTGTTATTTCAGTCATTTTTCCTTTATACTTTAACCTCTCTAGGATTTCATTTTTGTCCTCTATTTAGTTGACTTTTTCTCCCACTACATTTATATGAGTGATTAACACACATAACCCTTCAGAATATCTAAAATGTCACATGTACCAAAATTTTTAATTATTGAAACTTCAATAGATTTTACCTCTCAGTCTGTAATGCTTCTTCAGTTCCTACCTCCTAAATTTATACATTAAGCCCTTCCTTCAGTTCTATCTGGTTTCCATAGGTAAACTGCCAAGGTCTAGTTTAATGTCTTATAGAAGGCATTCAGTTACATTAGAAAAGGGATTTGGAGTTAAAAGTCTCTAAAGATACTTCCAAGTTCAAAATTCTAGGATTTTATTAAATTTGTCATGAGCTTTTTTTTTTTAAACAACACTGCTTTCTTTATTCATACCTGCCCACTTAAGCTTATTCTTTTAAAAATGTTCTTTTAAGGTAAGACCAACTATACCTCTATTTGTTCCAAAACGTCTGCCTTTTCTTATACTTAAACCCAGGCATAATTTTTATATTTCAAAGGACAGATCTAATGGGCTCCTCAGAATTGGAGAATTGTAAAATTCAAGAAAACTTGGGTTCACAGAGGTTAAGAAATCTGACTATAGCTATATAGCTAGTAAAGTGACAAAGTCCTGATTCTCTCCAATCAGAACTCCTTCCAAGTCAAGAAGGCTTTACTAGTTACACCAGCACAATTTTTTTTTTCCCTAATGCTATTTCTTATGTCCTTAGGACATCACCTTCCCCTAGTTAATCAATCACAAGGTTTTTATTTTTTAACTCTACAACACCCACTCTCCTGAAACTGTTCAGAATGACAAACATAACTCTATCAAATCTGGGAGGCAACTACTTTTTTCCCCCAGAGCATTTCATGTTTATATTATATGACCTGTAGTTTATAGGAAACTCACCAAACTACTAATACATTGTAGCACACTATAGCTACTTAATGTGAAGTGTCTAAGCAATGGAAGCAGAGACAAAGTCTTGGAAGATACAGAATACATGTTTAACTTGCTTAGAACAAGTATTTATCCAATATCTATCATACGGAAGGCTCTGTGCTATTAGCAAAAAGTCCCACTTAATTTCAAGTTCTGTAAATCTAACAGAACTGAAGAAACACTATGTTCATCCTTTTGCACTGAAACCCCCTCCCTCCCCCCAAAGCTAAAACGCGCGCGCCAGCGCACACACACACACACCCTCCCTCCCTCCCTCCAAAATGTGGAATCCCCACCCTCGACCGGGTAAGTACCTTCTGTACATTTAAGTGTTTGCAGACCTAGCCGTTTTTAAAAAAAAGTACCTGTACAATCATGCACAGTTTAGGTAGAGTAACATTACACAAGGTAAGCCCTTTTTTCTGTTCAAGATCCTAGTCGGTTAGGTAGAACTGGAGTTTGAAATCAGAGAAAAGGAAAGGTGAAAAGTAGCATGCAAAACTGAGAAACTAAATTGTGATAGTGATTTTATTAATGAAAATAAACTTTATTTAATACGGGGCAATCCTTAGGTAGTTATGAGTAGTTCATATAATGGAGAAAAGTCACAGTAATGTCAAATCCCAGACTCCCAGGAAAGTAACTGTGTTAACACTGTTAATATCACAATTTAAGAAATTTTTTGCTCTACTTTGTTCTGAAAAGTTTTATTTTTCTTAAAAAAAAAAAAAAAAAGGCAAAACAGAACCAAAAAAGGAACAAACAGAAACCACTCTGAGCTGGCGACTGCGACGACAGGCCAGTAAGACACCCAGGCTTTCCGGGTCGTGCTTGGCTTTGGGATGGATGTCCGCGAAGACAGCTCTGGAACCACCCATCACGTCCCACACCCAGAGCCCAAGAAAGCGGCAGCAGCCGCGGGGTCCGGGCCCCGCTGCAGACGTGGAGAGGCCCTCGGGGCTGCCCCTCGGGGCGAAGGATCACAGGGAAGGCAGTGCGGTCGTAACCCGGCAGGCAAGGCCCGGGAAAGCGCCAGGGGCGTCCCGGGCTCGGGGACACCCAGCGCTCGCGCGGGACGCCCTGTCATGAGTCACGGAGGCGAGAAAGCAGGCGGGCGGGGGAAGAGGCTGCAGGATGGAGGGAAGCCCGACCCTCGGGAGGGAAGCGGGCAGACCGGGAGGCCCCGACCTCGCGCGGGGCGGGGAAGCGGAGCCCTGCCCACCCTGCCCTC